TCTTCTTTGCCCTCCAGAATATTATATTACATGCCCTGCGGTCCCTTAATGTAGAAGCAGCTAAATCTTGTGTTATCCTGATTGTGTTTCCACAATACTTGAATTGTTTCTTTCTGGCTGCTTGTAATATTTTCTCCTTGACCTGGGAACTCTGGAATTTGGCTACAATATTCCTAGGAGTTTTCCTTTGGGGATCTCTTTCAGGAGGAGATTGGTGGATTCTTTCAATTTCTATTTTGCCCTCTGCTTCTAAAATATCAGGGCAGTTTTCCTGGATAATTTCTTGAAAGATGATGTCTAGGCTCTTTTTTTGATCATGGCTTTCAGATAGTCCAATAATTTTTAAATTCTCTCTCCTGGATCTATTTTCCAGGTCAGTTGTTTTTCCAATGAGATATTTCACATTGTTTTCTAATTTTTCATTCTTTTGGATTTGCTTTACAATGTCTTGATTTCTCATAAAGTCACTAGCTTCCAATTGCTCTATTCTAATTTTTAAGGAAGTATTTTCTTCAGTAAGCTTTTGGACTTCCTTTTCCATTTGGCCAGTTTTGCTTTTTAGGGCATTCTTCTCCTCATTGGCTTTTTGCATCTTTTTTGCCATTTGGGTTAGGCTATTTTTTGAGGTGTTATTTTCTTCAGTATTTTTTTGGATCTCCTTTAGCAAGCTGTTGACTTGTTTTTCATGATTTTCTTGCATCACTCTCAGTTTTTCCTCTACTTCTCTTACTTGCTTCTCAGAATCCCTTTTGAGCTCTTCCAAGGCCTGAGAGTGATTCATATTTTTCTTGGACACTTTGGATGTAGGAGCTTTGACTTTGTTTTCTTCTTCTGGTTGTATGTTTTGATGTTCTTTCTCACCAAAGTAAGATAATATAGTCTGACTCTTTTTGCACCGCTTACTTATGATCCCAGCCAATTACTTGAATTTTAAACTCTTTGTTAAGGTAAAAGTCTGCTTCCGATGTGAAGAGTATACTGTCCCAAGCTTTGGGGGTTTGTACAGCTGTTTTCAGAGGTACTTCTAGGGACCTGTAAATTTTCAATTCTTCCAAGGTGGTATGGTAAGGGGCAAGGTGTTTTCTTTCCACCACCACAACAAGCTCCACCACGCCAGGCCAGCTCTCCTCCTTGCCCCAGGACCGCCCTTCAGAACTGTGACCCAGATCCAAGCACCGATAAAGCAAGAGATTCCTGCCTCAGCACTAGCAAAGAGATCCCTATAATCCCCCCCTCCGATCAGCCACTCGATTCCCCCTCAGTCTGTGGGCCAGAAGCTCAGGAAAAAGCCGCGGCCACAGGCCGCACTTGAGATTTGCGGCTGAGACCTAGCTGCTCTCTCACTGCAGTCATGGACTTTTCCCACTGACCTTCTAAGTTGTCTTTGGCGTTCATGGGTTGAGAAGTCTGGAAACCGCCACAGCTTCCTGCGATTCAGCCCTCTGAGGCCTGCTTGCTGAGGCCTGCGCCCCCTCCTCGAACTGCACTCCTCTCCCCGCCCGGCGCGATATACCTTTCTGATCAACCATCCAGGCTGTCTTTGGCTGGAAATTTGTTTCACTCTGTCTTTTTGTGGGTTCTGCTGCTTTAAAGTTTGTTTAGAGCCATTTTTTTAGGTATTTGGAGGGCTTTGGAAGAGAGCTCAAGACAGTCACTGCTTTCCCTCTGCCATCTTGGCTCTGCCCCCCACCAATTCTTATTTTCAAGGAGTTATTTTCTTCAGTGAGATTTTGTATTCCTTTTTCAAGCTGTTAATTCTCTTTTTATAGCTTCTTCCCTAACTCTTGCCTCTTTTTTCCCATTGTTTCCTATGTAGCTCTCATCTGGTTTTTAAAATAATTTTTAGCCCCTTCTTTAACTCTTGCAGGAATTCTTCTTGGATTTGTGTCCCAGCTGCATTTATCTTTGAGGCTTTGCTTGTAGAGTTTGGGGTTTTTTGTGTGTGTGTGTCATGAGCTTCCCTGTTGTCATAGTAGCCCATTATGGTGGGGTCTTTTGTGGGGTTTTTTGGCTTGTTTGTTTGTTTGTTTGTTTGTTCACTCAGCTGACTTATTATCTTCAGACTTTATGTTAGTGCTAAACTCTGCACCACTTCTTGGTTTGGGCTGGTGGTAGGGGGGAGAAATGTTTAGCTTGCGCTTCTATTTTCTTATGACCTATGCTGCTTTCCCAGCTCTAACTGGGAACCTCAGAATTTTCAGTGCTCCCAAAGTGGTGTGATTTGGGAAGAGATGTGTTCATTGCACTCTTTGAGTTCTGTAAGTTCCTGACCCAGGTTCCTGACTTTTGGTTGGGAGTTTCAGCCACCTGCCACTTGACTTAGCCACTGTTGGTCTGCTGGGAGGCTTTGTGGATTCAGAGTGACAGAACTGCCTGCTGCCCTTTGTGCTCTGCTCCTGCAATCAGGACCAATCACATGGCTGCCATGTGCTTTCCAGAGTGCGTTCAGTATTCAGACAATACTTACAGACATTTTTCCCACTCCTGGATCTATGCCCTGACACTAGGTGTTGGGTTACAGTGCTGCCAGATGGCCCCCATTCCTGCACCTGGCTTGCTCAGGGGTCTCCTGGGGTCTCTCTTTGGTACTCTGTCTTAGCCCTCTCTGAGCCCCTTGGTGCCAGAATGCTCCCCACTGGAACTGGCCAGAGCCACAAGTTCCTGGTCAGACTGCTTACCCATTTCTCTCTTTTCATTTCCCTAAGCTGCCCTGGGATGGAAAAAAAAAAAACACAATTCACTGTGACTTCTTATCTTTCCTACAGAATTCAATCTGGTATGCTCCAAATTTTTATTGAGGAGGTGCAGGAGGGGGAAAGCTAGATTCTAATGCTTTCTGTCACTTCACCATTTCAGCTCTGCTCATTGATGTAATCTCTTGAAGAGAAATAGAGAAGTAGCCTTTAAAATTTTTTGAGGTCAGGGTTTAGGGGGTATGAGCCATGTTGCCTACTAAAGGTGACATTTCATGGTGAAAATGATTTCCAAATTGCATATTTATCTATCTTTTTTTTGAATAATGTTTTTATTTTCTTTTTCTCAGTTATGTGTAAAACCATTTTTAACATTCATTTTTTATAATTTTTGAGTTTCAAATTCCCTCCCTCCCCCTCTCTTTCCCTGGAAGACAAACACTTTGATATAGATTATACATGTGCTGTCATGCAAAACATATTTCCATATTAGTCATGTTACAAAAGTGAACACAGATCAAAAAAAAAAAAGAAGAAGAAAGAAAAACAAAGTTAAAAAAAAAGTATGCTTTAATCTGTATTCAGACTCCACCAATTCTTTCTCTGGAGGTGGATAGCATTTTTCATCATAAATCCTTTGGAATTGTCTTGGATCATTGTATTGCTGAGAATAGCTACATCATTCACAATTGATCATCAGACAGTATTGCTATTATTGTATATAATATTCTGGTTCTGTTCACTTTACTTTGCATCAGTTCACAGAAGTTTTCCTAGATTTTTCTGAGAGCATCCTGCTCATCATTTTTTATAGCACAATAATATTCCATCATAATCATATACCATAACTTGTTCAGCCATTCCCCCATTGATGAGAATCCCTTCAATTTCCAATTCTTTGCCACCACAAAAAGAGCTGCTAGAAATATTTTTTTTACATATAGGTCCTTTTCCTTTTTTTTTTTTTAATCTCTTTGGGATACAGACATAGTAGTGATATTGCTGGGTCAAAGGGTGTACAGGTTTTTATAGTCTTTGGGCATAGAGTTCCAAATTGTTCTCCAAAATGGTTGGATCAGTTCACAACTCTCCCAATAGTGCTTTAGTGTCCCTATTTTTCTACACGCTCTCCAATATTTGTCATTTTCCTTTTCTGACAAATTAGCCAATCTGATAGATGTGAAATGGTACCTCAAAGTTAAAAATTCTATTTCTCTGATCAGTAGTGATTTAGAGCATTATTTTATGTGACTATAGATATTTAATTTCTTCTTCTGAATGTATCCATCTTTCTCATGGTGATTTGTTTTAAAATCATATGGCATGGTAACATTGGTGGGTGTAGATATTGGTGTGGAAGATGAAGTTTGCTAGCTGATAATTTTTAGTACTCTGTCCTCTTTGCCCTCTTTGTCTCTGGAGATTTAATCAAACACACACCCTGTTATAACAGCTTACTTTTGTTGTTTACTGTACTAAGTGCAGTGTAGTGCCGTGACCTATTAGATCCACATATTAAATGAAAGTTAGGGATACAATCACAATATCTCAGAGACCCCAGTTAGGAAAGTTCCTAACAATTAGTCAGAAGTTTGACTTTCTTCTCTGTTTTAAATTTAGATTTGTCTCTAGCTTAACCCTTGCATTCTTTATGTTTGAGGCAAAATTCAGGTTACGTACGGGGCAACATTTGGGTAAGGAAGTGAGCAGAGTGTTATATGGCGTCTGTAAATGAACAGAGTGTTGTGTAGTGTCTGTAAAAGGCACCAAGAGGGTAAGTTGGAGGAGCAAACCTTTTCTAGGAACTTCCCCCATCCTTGAAAATATGGATAAAACTGGTGGCTTTACACCAAACTTAATATTCAGAGATGTTTGATGATCTTGTCACAGCTCAGCCCTACTCCTTCTTTCTCCTGTCTTCAGTCGCCCCTTTGCCAATGATTCTTTCCTGCTTTGCTCATTAAGTCCTGGACGGGGTTGGGAAGTTGTCTCTATTGCTGCTGCTGCTAAACTCTTGAGCTCCCTTCCCCCCCCCCCCATTCCCATTCTCTTGGTGTATCTGTCCAAACTCTGTATTCCTTAAAGAACTCCAGAGCTTAACTCATTTCTGCTCTCCGGCTCAAAGATTGTAATAATTCCAAAACTTTCTCAAGGCTAAGAAGGAAATGCTCTGAGCTACAAATCCCAAGAAGCCAGTTACTTCTCAAACTCCTATTACACTACTTTAGTAGTTTTGCTTATTGTATTTCTTTTTACTGCTTGTTAACAGTATTTAATGAAATGCTTCAATGTTCTGAATTGTTTCAGCTTCAAAGAAGTTTGCAGGAGATGTCTTAAGAGCTCACAATGAATATAGACAGAAACATGGCTGCCCCCCAATAAAACTCGACAACAAATTGAACCGTGATGCACAACAGTGAGTCAGTTTTTAACACTTAAGAAATTCTGAAATACTGTTTTCTGTCTTTTTGAAAGTACTTAGCACCTAAGTATCCTGTGTGAATATGTAGTCTGAGAATTTGCGTAATATTTCCAGTTACAGTGCTGTTTTCTTAGTGTCATGTTAACATTAGGGAGGAAGTTTTTTTGTCTGTTTTCTTAAACAAATTGGATTGTATAACAATACATTTTCGAGGTCTAGATGTAAACATGTTTTACGAAAGGGGGCATTTAGAAGTTTGATTAAGGCTCATTCATTTTTGCTTATAATTTTAGTAAATACTGTGAGTTTCTTTGCTAGGTATGCAGATGCACTGGCTATTACAAAGGTTCTCAAACATAGCTCAGAATCCAGTAGGGGAAATTGTGGAGAAAATCTAGCATGGGCTTCGTATGATCAACCAGGTATGTTTGGTTCTTTCATACTTTCCTGTCAGAATTACTACTTTCTAAATTCATATCTCTGAAATTTGCCTACTTCATTTTTTTGTGGGCTGTGTATATTTAAAATTCTAATCTGTTGGTTTTTTTTTTCTAAAATCTGATTTATACCTGAGTTTTGTTTGTTTTTTCATATGTGCCTTTCTGAGCTGAATTATATCTCACCTGCTCAATTTTTAATCTATTTGTGTACACTTGGAACCACAACCCAGTTCATGATAAAAATGCTCTCTCTCCCCTCTCATCTGATTTTTCTCCTCTACTTCTTACACCTACCTCTCCCATTTCCATTCCCAAACCCTTTGCCTTAAATTGCATCCCCAAGGCATGTTTTTGGCATAGCTCTGTTACCCATTCCTGCATTTGTTAATCAAACTGAGAGTATTACATAAAAAGCATTTGTCACATGAAAGTGTTATTTGGACTTGTCTATTTTTGACGTGCCCTGTAGAACTGAATTATAACTACTCTCAACATACTATTGAGTACTATTAGGTATTTTGAAAACTGGGATATTTTATTCAGAAATTCCCTCATTAGGGAAAATAACTCTTTTAGTCATGGAAGTCAGATATTTGAAATCCAAAAGGTATTATAGGACCTCTAATTACTCTTTTAATAAAATAGAATGTTTATTAGGCTTATTGAGTTGTATTTTCTTTTGTTTTAAAGTTTATTTCCTCAGTTTGAGAGGTACTCTTTATTGATTTTTCTTTGGGAAGATACTTTGTTGTTAAATTGGCTTATATGTTTTACGTATTTGTAGCCCAGGTTTTTCTGGGCATGTCCAGTTCTGGCATAGGGAGCCTTTTGAGCATGCCCAGTTTGTTTAACGTGGAGGCCACTGCATCCCCAGGTAAGTGGTGGGTAGCCGCCTTTGATTGGCCACTTGCATCTTTAAAATTGGTATTCATTGTGGTGGCAAAACACTCTCAGGCCCCTTGACTACCCCTCAGCTCTCTTGTACGCACTTATTACCTCATGGGAGATTTTAGCTACTTCCTCCAAAATGAATGGAGGAAGAGGCTTCCTTTTCATGGTATGGCCTCACAGAGGTATATAGGATATTCAAGGAGGACTAGCACCTTTGGAGAGAGGGCTTGCTGAGGCCTTTTCAAAGCTGCTCATCCACCTTTGGTGTCCACCTTGCACTCAACTCTCACCTGTGGCTCCAGGAAACTAAAGCATGTACAGCAGCCACACCCTGGTAAACCATCTCAGCAAACAAGCTAATCCAGGTTGAGGGTAACCAATGGGCCTCAAATCCATTGGTGAGTTGGGGAGGGGTGTTTACCCCACACATGTGAAGATTTCCACTGGCAGAATGGGCAGGTGAAAGCAATTTATTCCAAATATGCTTAATATGAATATATAAGTGGAGCCCATATAAGATTGCACGCCATCTTGGGGAGAGGAGAGGAGAGTGAGGGGGGAAAATTTAAAACTGAAAATCTTATGGCAGTGAATGTTGAAAACTAAAAATTAATAAATAAATTGTTTAAAAAAATATTTGTTCCAACAGCCATGAAGGTGGCTGAAGCAGGTTCGGTGGAGTACTTAGAGCTTGGCCAGACATTATGCCAAGGTCATCCACTGCATCCCTTCCATTGCAAGTCATCCTGACTTTTTGTCTTGCCACTGGACTTCAGTGACTCTGGAAGAGAGAGTGAGACTAACAAGTTTGTGCCACTTAGCCTTACTTGAATCCAATTCACGTATAAATCAAGACATCTTCCCTGATGTCATTGGTCTGCTTTGAAAATGAAGGACAAACAACAACAGTCTCACTGCCCCATGGCTCTCAGGACCTCAAGTGGACAGGCACTGGGTACTTCTTATCCCTTGGTCAGAAATTTTGCTCTTCCTTACAAAATTAGCCATAGCACAAGTGATACCTGGAATTACCCATTACATCATCACAATAAAGACCCACTCTTAAGAAAATAAGGATAACTAACCCAGCATCCCAGGTAGGACCTCAGAATGCAATTCACAGGAAATATACATCAACAGTAGATGTAATAGACATAGCACTGTTGACACTTCAGTGACTAAAAGTCTCATTTACATGGAGGACAGGTACATACACATGAAGGACATAGTGACTAAAGTGGTCTTCAGAAATCCACCAAGTCTCCAAAAATAAATAAATAAATAAATAGAACAAAAAAAGGGGCAGCTAGGTGGCATAGTATATCGATAGAGCACCGGCCCTGAAGTCAGGAGAACCTGACTTCAGATCCGGCCTCAGACCAAACACTTGGCACTTATTAGCTGTGTGACCCTGGGCAAGTCACTTAACCCCAATTGCCTTAAAAAAAAATAAAACAGAAATCCACCAAGTCTGAGAGGCCCCACCTGCCTGTCACTGGCACTTCTTATGCCTTTAGGTGACCAGGAAGCTAAGCCAAGGCTAATCAGGTCCCAGGGGTAGCTTTGTCTCCCTTCAGGGAGAGCTGATCCCTAAGAATTAGTTTAGAAGAAGGGTCATTGGCCTCCCCATGTTGGGAGGGGAGGGGAAGCTGTGTCAGGGAAATAACTGGTAAATTTTAGTCCTATCAAACCCATTCATCTTTACAATTATTAGTTTTCCTGTTGATTTGCTAACTTGTGTGTCTCATACACACCAAGATTTCTTAACAAACTCTGCCTTCTTGTTGAAGATCATGGCAATAAGCTTTGGCATCATCATTGAGCATCATTTTTTTTCTGACTGAGCTCTTCTGAGCTGAAATGTACTTAGGTGGTAAACTTGTTTCACCTTTTTTTTCTCAGCTAAGAGATGTACTGGTTATGAATATTTGCAATCTTTCCATTTTCAGAGACTCCAAAGCACAAATCAGTAGGTGTAGTGCCCAAACAAAAGCAGATAGTGGATGTAAAGGCTAGGGCATCATTCTTGGTGGAGTTGTACATATGTACTAGGAATGTCACAGATCTTGTTTCAGTATACTTAACATATTCAACAGGATACAGATGGAACATTCAGGCTCAGGGTTCCTTTGAGGATAACAAGGTATGGTTTGAAGTTTAAGTGATTTGCCCAAGATCATACAACCACTGTGTCAGAGGTGGGGCTTGAATCCTCATCTTACTGACCAGCTTTCTGTCTACTACACCACACTGCCCCTTCACTATTATCTTGAACATACTAGAATGGTACCAATTAGTGCTAACATTATGTTGATAAATGGCAGGCATAGACATGCCAGAGCCAAGATGTCTTCTTCTCTGTTGATACCAGCAATTTCTTTAAATAATTTCTACTTTGATATACTTCAGATGTAGGAGCTCTGGGCATGGTCTGACTTGGGCCAGTTCCTAGTAGGTTAGATTCTATGTGAAACAATCATAAGTTATTCAGCAATTAACAAAAAAGAAATTTGCTCAGCCATAGTAAGAGAACGATATTCAACAAAGATAGATAGCAAAGGTACCTCGAGTTAATGCAGATGAGCAAAGCTCTCTTGCACCCCTTATGTTCTATCAGCCCAGCAAGTGAAAGACAGCCTGGAGCTTCTTGGGCGCTGCCTTGTACTCAGGGAATGAGGAAATAACAGCCTTTATTCACTTAAACCAACCAAGTCTTAAGGAAGGTCTCAATATCTTTTAGCAAGAAAGTAGTCTAACTTGTCTGGGGAAAAGGATTAGAATATTGTTCCTACCATAATGGGTAATTTTCCTACTAACAACAAAGGTAGTAAGTTCAATGTAACTGAAAACTTAGAGTATAAAAGGAAAAAAATGAAATAACATAAAGAGCATTAGAAATGAAAATTGTAAAAATTTAAAATAAAATGTTCATATTATAGATATCCACAGTGCTTGTAACAGGAATCCTGGGAGATTTCACTTAAAAGAGGCAAGAAGAAAGAGTTAAAGCATCATTTAAATTAAAGCTTCAAAAGTTGTTTTTAGGACCATTTATTTTTTATAGTAGAGGCATCTTACATTTTATTGTTTTTAGCAGTCTTGATTTTGTTCTAATATTTCTTCTTGTCTCAGAGTCATTAATGTCTTTTTGATCTATTATAATTTTCAGGGGGTTTATTGCTTGCATAAGGATTTGTACCTACCTGATCATTTTCCTTCCAAGTCTTTTCCTCCAGAACTCTCATTTCTTTTCTAGTTTTTTTTTTCCTTTAGAGATCTTCATTTCATTTATCATATAATTTTTAAACTTTTCTTAATATGTCTTGCTTCATTTCTTCCAGGAATCCTAGTTGACCTTTGTGTTTTTGTTTGATGCTTTGCTTATAAATGTTTTTTGGAGGGTTTGTGTCATAGAAGTCCCTCTTTCCATAACATTTCTTTATTGTTGTCAGTGTCTTTTTTCATTTACTTATTTTTCTAGCCTTATTTCCTGAATTGGTACTTTGTGTTATATCCAGGCTCTGTTTACTTCTGGAGGGAATGATAGGGCCTCGTATGGTCCTAATCTGTATTATTTGAGTCCTGTCGCTATAATATACACTAACCTGTGTATTGAGAGCAGTGTTGTCAAGGATCTCAGGGGCAGCTCAGCCCAGAGAACTGCAAACTGTGGGCCCCAAGCAGTCTGATTTATGACATGGTCTGATCACTGGCCTTTGCTTTGCAGGATTTAGATGTTGATTGATTTTGGGCATTATAAATACAGGATTGCCTTTGGATGCAGCAACAGTAAACAGTTGCTGTACCCAGCCCTTGTCTACAAGGTGGAACACTCTGCAGGTTCACTGTGACAAAGCCGTACCCTCTCCCCACACACATTCTGCCCAGTCTGTGTCCACAAACTAAAATAAAATTCCATTTGGTGAAGCGCCATGGCATACTGGGTAGAGTCCAGGACTTGGGGGAGACTAAAATCATGATTACCTCCCCTAACTTTCTTTAGATAAGCTGAAGCATATTAGACTCTGCTCCAGCCCTTTACTTTAACTCTGTGTGTATCTTTTTGTTTCAGATGTGGCTCTTGTAAATAA